AGGGGACTGCAGCGAAGACAGGGCGTCTCCGGGTCGGGTTGGGAGTGAGCTACTTGCGCTGGTGATGTCAGCACCCACGTCAAGCTCTCCCCATCTTGGTGACGCTATCCCACATCAAGCTGCCCCCGGCTTAGTGATGTCATCCCATGTCAAACTGCCCCCAGCTTGGTGATGTCACCACACACCTTAGTGCACCCACCAAATGATGGGTTATTTACATGGCAAATCACCGTTGTCAGCTGAGGTGATGTCATCCCCCCCCATCCAACTGCCAGGGTGAGGTGAGGTGATGTCAGCAGCTCACGCCAAAACACCCAGGTGACGTCACCCTCCTCCATTAACTGGGTCACGTCAGTCCCTCTTGCCCCAGGGCTCCTAGCATGCCATGGCAAGGAGCAAATGCTGGACCAGAGAGCGCACAGGGTCTTCCCAGGGTGTTTTCCCCCTCTTCCTCTCCCACTGGCAGGTCTCCAGCATTTAAGATCCAGGAAGCGCCAGTTCAGAGGCTGTACCCCTAAGTCCCATTTTTATTTGCAAAACATAATCTTTGGTTGTAGCTTGGAGGAATGAATGAGCCATGAAAGCTTTGAAGGAAATATTTGAGCCCCCACAGCTGTTCCTTTTTCCATCCAAAAAATCTCAGTAACATGTCATCTATGCATTTCTTCCCTTTTCCTATACCTTAAAAACTACTATTTTTGCTTGCTGCCCATTTCAAAAAAAACTGAACCTATTCTTTAAACCCAAGTAGGGCATGGTTTCCCATTTATTTATTCTCTCCTTACTTAGGATTTCCTATTTATTCTCTCCTTTAAGATTTCCCTATGTATTCATTCTATCCCCACTTGAATTTAAGAAGTTATAAATTAAAAAAACAAAAATAAACAGCTTCCCTTGCTTTACAGTCTAGTCTTAGTACTGCATTTCATTAAAAGGCAAGAAAATTAGTAGCTCCAAAGAAACAGCCCTCTGCAGGACTAGCCAATGACAACCTCAGCTTTAGACAGGGATGCATATCGTATTTTACTGTGGTTTTTCACCTTTCAAAGCCCTCTTTAAAAGAAAGCAAACCACCTTAAAAGGAGCTATTAGAATCTACTCTAGTACAAAAAATTACTGCAGCACTTAAAGCCATTAAATTGTAAGTATTCAAACATCTCAATTTAAAAGCCAACCTGCAGGGGAATATATTGTATTTATATAAAGAAAAAAATGTTTTCTACTCAAGAACTTGTGTGAACCATTAAGTCACCTACAAAAGCAAGAATGATGGTAATCTGTGAGTGTTTTAACATGACAAGCCATTAGAGCAATTCACTTATAAGCCTCAAAGGGACAGGGTATTACAATAGACTTCTTGGTGCTACTCTACAAATACATTCACACAATGTACACATGAAGTACAGGTTTTTTTGCAGATAAATATATCCGAAGTGTTTTTTTTCATTTATTTTATTGAAGGTCAGTCTTTTGTATTGAAGCCCCTCACTTTTCTTTAAGCAATGAGCAAATTTAACAAAAGTTGATGAACTGTAAGTCATTAGTGTGTGCACTGCCTTTTTCCCCCCTTTTGAATATAGGAGGAAGAATTTGGAAGAAAAAAGGGGGAAAAAAAAAAGTCATACCACCCTTCTGGTCTTGGCTTCTGAAATCTTTGATTAAACCACTTAAAATTATTAGCAATGCTCAGTAAGATTAAAGTTGCAATTTCACATAGATCATCATTGCTTTGGGGAAGGAGATGATCATCAGTTAGGGCAAAAAAAGTCTCTGTAATTCAGTACATATGACACTTGTCCAGCTCCATTAGTTAGAGGTTTTTTGTTTTCTGAAGCATACAAAACAGGTCACTGTTAGAGAAGAGACACTTTGTGCTCTTCAGGATGTCCAGCGAGAAACAAATCCTCTTTTAGACCCTTCCCAGCAAGAGAAGCTGGAAGTTCTAAATCCTGCTCATCAGCATGAGCGTAACCAGGAGATGAATACTTTTAAAAGGGTTTGAACCTACCATCTCTGGTGAGGTTTTGCTTGGCACAGAAAGCATAGAAGTGTTATTATGGCCACAAATAATAAGTGGGGAAATACAAAACGTACCTTCCTGTTTAAAAATTGTGCGAAATGTCTTTTTAAACTCAGCCAACTCAAAGGAAGACAGAATATACAGAGTTAATAGTTCAACTACATCTATAAATTCAGTCCGTGCAGGAGATACTACTGCACCCAAAAGATGTAGCTTTTAGATTGATAAGTAGTATAGAAAAAGGTTATAAAGATGCCAAGTTTTTGTACAAAACAGGTATTATGGTTACATTAATTATGTGTATACATTAATAAGGAATAAGTTCAGATTGGGGTCCCCTTTGTACCAAGTACACAAATTTTAAGACAGTCCTTGCCCCAGAGAGTTTTACAACTTACTAGGTGGCAGAGGAAAGATAGTAGGAAGAATAGGCCCATCTGTAATGTCCCCATTTAGGACATACAGAGATTTTTTTGACCAATGTCACCAGCAGCACACCTGAGATTTGGATTTGTATTTTGAAACCTAACCAGGTGCCTTAAGCACAAGACTATTCCTCCATTTCCAAAACAGTACTTCATGAAGTGCTTTCATTTTTTGTATGATACAAAACCCATCAGTGAAGAAAAAACTCTGCATGTGGAGTCAGATGCAACTGTACTAAAGAATAGTTAACTGGAAGAGGAAGGAGTTGGTAAAAGAGTGCACATAAGAAGAGTTTACATGATCCATTTTCTTTAATTGCATAGTAATTTGATTGTACAATCTCCAACAGAAGTATAGTAATCCACTTGAAAATACCATTTCCTTATTTTGTTATACTTTACACGTCAAATGAATCAAAACTGGGACTATGTATGTAGTACAAAAAAAAAAACAAACAAAAAAAAACGAGTTAATAATGTTGGTTGGTTGGTTGGTTAAATAAAGCTGAAGTTTGAAATCTATTTGCAGATATTCAGTCAAAGAAGTTGAGGTAACAAATAGTTAACAGAAAATGGCAAAAAAAGGTTAGAAAGGAGACCAAGAGAGAAAAACAGCTACAGGACGTCTGTACACAAGCGCAGAGGCTGCTCCAACGTGTCTAATTACACCACGTTGGAGCAGACTTGATTAAATGGAGTCTTTCGGAGCATGGTAATTACTGTGCTCCAGCAGCTTCCCGCGTCTCGTGCAGTGTCCCCACACTTCAAAAAGGTGGTGGAGGCATTTGAACTGAAGCTCACTCAATGAGCTTTAGTTCAAGCGCCCCTGCTGCCATTTTGGAGTGCAGGGGTCACTGATACACAAGACACTGCTGTGCTTTAATTAGAGTGGCTCTCAGAGCTGCTCTAATTAAAGCCCCGCCTCTCCCCCACCCCCAGGGCATGTGTAAAAGTGCCCATAGAGTTCCAGTTCAAAGCTGAAATACAAGACAGTAACAATGACCCTGTACACAATGAATAAATGTTACCATGCTCAGGATATACATTCTGGGCATTAAACAATGCTACAGATGAGCAACATACTAAAAAAATAATAATTTAAAGCTATACAACTGTACTTATAAATATATTGTTTTTAAAACTAGTTAAAGTAGTGTTGGCTAAAAGTGTTCACAGTTACTCTAAAACAGAGCTGTATATATATATTGCACAATAGTAGAAAACTTCATTCACTATACCATGTGTAAACAATGATTTGCTTTCTGTCTTTCTCTTTTGGCAATATTACTATTTAGAGAAACATTTGCTGTAAGCAAAAGCACTTGGGTACAAGGCACATCAAAAGCTTTTAAAAACGGGTTGTCAGAACAAGTTAAAAAACAAACATGCCAAACTTCCTCAACACTTTCCAGTTAACAATATCATCATTCTACTTAGAAAGTTGTGTACTCAACGAATAACAATACATTTGTAGAAAATAAATTTAGAAGTTTGGTGACAAAAGTTGCAGGTTGTTTATTCCACCGTCACAGATTTGGCCAGGTTTCTTGGAAAATCCACCTGGAATGAAGAACATATTTTCAGTACGTGATTGAGTAAAGCAACTTTCTGTATCTGTTGATTCAACCTGTCCGCACATGCGTACGCACACACCCTACCACCCATCCTCCCCCACACCCAAATCACCCATCCCTGAATTAATTCCATACCTTATCTGTCCTAGCTAGCCAAAACACAACCTAGACATGCAAAACGAGCTGGAGATCTTAAAATCTGCAAAGGTTAGAAGTTTCCTTGCAATCTGATTGCAAAAATATGAATTGCCATAACAGGGTACAACTCTCAAAAGGATAGGTATCAGTCTTAAGCTTATTCAAATACTTAGCATCGGTTAAAAAAGTATCAGACAAGTGTCACAATTTCTCTGAGTAAATTTTGCTTCCTACTTTCATATTATTTACTGAAAAACAGAGGGAAATCTTCATTCCAGGTACTGCTCTCATTCAGTTTTCCTACTGAACACTCAGTTTCATTTTCCCAGTTAAAAGCAGCTAAATATTTTTCTGGGGTTTTTACTAAAATTCTAGCTCAGTTAATTAGAATATAGCTATTCTCTTGCTAGAAACTCTATGCAACTATTCCTCTCACATTAAACTGGTGGGAAGCAGAAGGAAGTTCACTGCAGTGCTTCTCCAACTCCAGAAATTGGAGTACCTAAAGATAAAAAGACACTTACATCATATCCTCTGAGAACAGCCAGGTGGAATGAAAGCAGCTGGAGGGGAATAACACTCAGAACCCCTTGGAGACAGTCAACCGTGTGTGGCAGCTCAATAGTTTTGTATGCATATTTTGAGCTTTCTGTATCTTCTTTAGAACACAAAATGATTGGGCGACCCTGTAAATAAGACATTAACAATCAAAAAAGGGCTGACACCGAGTTGTTTTGGTGTGCATGGGCGTTTGTAGATGTGCTCCAGGAGGTGTGTGGTGGGGGGGAGGTCTTTAATTAGCACAGCTCCAAGAGCCATGCTAATTAAAAGCTCCTGGAGTGTCAAATGTATTGGCGCTCCCATGCGAAAAAATGGCGGTGGGGTGCTTTGAACTAAAGCTCGAACAAGCTTTAGTTTAGATCACCCCACTGCCATTTTTCAGCATGGGGATACCAATACACATGACGCTGGAGTGCAGTAAATTTCCACGCTTCAGCAAACTCAATTAAAATTGAGCCTGCTCAGCTGCGCTGGAATTACAGAGCATCAGAGCAGCTTCCCTGTATGTGTGTAAGTGCCCCGCATTGCTAAGCTTTCAAATGCATTCAATATATTTTGAACTTACTCAAACAGATAGTAAGAATGATGATGACAATGCCTTCCTACTATTTATGGGAAAACAAGACCTTTTGCTTGTTACATGGTATTTACAATTTAAAATGAAACTTGAACTTCTAGCACTGCAGATCACCAACATAATTCCACCTGCATTTTTAATTGGTCCGTCCTCATCACTGGCATCCATCTTTAATATTATGGTATAAATCAAAGGGTGCGCACTTGCCATCTTTGAGGACTAGATAAACACCAAGACGTTGCGTTTCTGAAGTGCTGTCGGTAGCAACACATTTCAGCATGCAGAACCTCTATCCAGCTGATGTTGTTCAAATTACCTGTCGAGCAGTGATCTGTTGCAAGGCATTCTGGCATTTGTTGAAGCAGGGATCCTTCATAATTACCATGATAACAGGCATTTGTTTATCAATAAGGGCCAGTGGCCCATGCTTCAGTTCACCAGCCAAGATACCTTCAGAATGCATGTATGTGATCTCCTTGATTTTCTAGAAAGCAAATGCCAGAGTTACACTCATGTCAAGTGCCAAATAAAAGCTTCAGAAGGCAAAACACAAATACCAAGTGTCTGTTATTTAAACATGGAAATAAGCTTATTTTTTAAATAAATTCTTTCCAGCAGTTGGTTTATCTCATTCTACAACAAAATTGGTTCCCACCCTTGCAAAAATTGTCTTATTTTTAATATCATAAAGAGGTGTCATTTGCTGGATCAAGTTTGCCTGAAATCAATAGGAATCGTTGCTCCCTAGAGATAACAGAGAAACAAGCAGTTTGTTTATTTTTAATCCTTTTTCTAGGTTACCTTGAATTAAGTTTACATTTTAGAAGCATTTGTGTCTTGAGATATGGTGATTAATGACCAGAAAGATATATTGTCACATCTCGCTATGCCTAAACAGAGGTTTACTGAAATGGTGCAACAACAAAAATAAATAAATAAATAAATAAATAAATAAATAAATAAATAAAAAGGCCCATACACATTAAAGTGGGGAAAAGAGGTCTTCTACAGATGTTTCCTTCTTGCAGTTAAATTTACAAACAAGATGAAAAAAGCAATGGAAAGGAAACAAAAGAACAAAAAAAAAAAGGGTAAAGCTTTAGAAGTGATACACCTAAGCATACATACCAATGCTCCTTCCAGACATGTAGCATAATTATAACCACGACCCATCACTAAAAGCGATCTCTGTTTGTACAATTCAAGAGCCAAATCATGTATCTTCTCATCCAAGGACAAGACTTCTTTAATCATCTCTGTCAAAATCACATACAAAGAGGATTAACCTAACTGTCATTTCCTGCATTGCTATTCATTTACCAAAACTATATTAAGATTTGTTTCAATGAGGCAGTAACAGATAGGTTTGTAGCTGCATTCATTTAAACTTCAAAGCTTTGCAGCTTTGTAAATATGCCCTGGACTCTCATAGATCTAAGCAGACAAAGTTCAAATATCTTTTATTAAACCAACTTAAATATTTGGAAGTTAGTCTATTAAAAGATAGCAGATTTACCCAAAGAACCTTGCCTGCCTATGGCCTTAGACCGGGGCGGGCAAAATGCGGCCCGCGAGCCAGACGCAACCTGCCAGGCCATTGCATCCAGCCCACAGGACCCCTAAAAAATTCAGAAATTAAGTATTAATCTGCCCCTGGCTGCCTGTCATGCGGCCCTCAATGGCTTCCCAAAACTCAGTAAGTGGCCCTCCGCCCAAAATAATTTCCCGCCCCTGCCTTAGACCAACATGGCTACAACCTACAGCCTTGAATAGACCTAAGTGGCACTTTTAAATTATCTCTTGGTTTAATGTATATCACTCCCTTTGTATTTCTAAGTGTAATTCTTATACTTCTCATCTTCATATGGGCTTAAAATAAGTTTGTTTTTTTTGTTTTGTTTTGTTTTTTAAATCAGCACTGAAAATAGTAAAATTTCCTTAAAAAATTACAAAAAAGGAATGTTGTGTGCAAGGAAGGGGGCGGGGGGGCAACACCATACAACTGTAAGAATAGAATACAAACTGTGTTCCAGTTTATTATTTGGTGTACCACCAACATCTCTTCAGGGGACAATGTATCAATTTCAGAGTTTTACAACCATCAGTTTTCCAACATAGTAAGCAAGGGCATGGGCATATGAACTACTATACTATTTCAACAGGGTAGAATCTCTTTGGGGTGGAAGGAAAAGGAACAGACTTGCCACTTATAATTCTGCATCAGTTGAGCCATTTAAACTGTATTTTAGCTGCCTGCTGCTATCCTAGGATAAGTGAAAATAATTTGCAGTCAACTGGGAAAGACGACATGCAAAATAACTGTAAAACATTAACTGAACTGCATTAGTCCCATCTGCTCACATTTCAATCAGTATAATTGTTTAATTGGTCCAGGACTTCAAATTTTCCACACAGAAAAGTATCTCTGACCAATAGAAAATAGACTTAAAACCATAAAAGGGGTGGGAGGGAGTGGACCAAAAGGAGTATTCAGAGCCACATGGGCTGCTACTTTTAAAAATAAATTTCATTATTAACACCACTTCAAATTAGTTAAAAAATTATTTTATAAATAAAAGGAAAAAAATCCCACTGCATTAATAAGCCCCTATCCTTCAGGCACCAATACTTGGAATAGGAAACAAGCTGTGGGATTAGTAAACTGTCTCTAAGAGAACAGTTACTGGAAACTGAAACATTAGAGCACGTTTTGTTTTTCAGAACTGAGACCAGTTGAAAGCAGAGAGCGCTGCTGGTTGTTGTAAAGGAGTTGTCTACATAACACTGCTAGCCTTTCATGAAGATAATAAACAAGATTTGCTTTTATCAAGGAAGTGTACTTCTTTAACAGCACTCATCACCACAGAAACAAAAGGAAAAAAACAACAAAAAAACACTGTAGAAGTTATTACACCTGGTAATGATTGCAGCCCGCTGATGATCTCCTGTCTCCTTTTCTGCAGGGAAATTCTGTCTTCAGACATCATCAGGCCAAACATTACAAGAGAGATGAACTGGCTGGTGTAAGCCTGCAGACAGACAATGTCAGTGCTCCACAGACGTGTATTACTAAAACATCTCACTGGCTTCCACAGAAGAAAGGTATAAAAGCCATTCAGTGAATAGTTACCTTTGTGCTTGCCACACCTATCTCTGGGCCTGCATTGATATGTACACCACAGTCAGTATCTCTGGATATTGAGCTTCCCACAGTATTTGTAATGCCAACCGTCAAAGCTCGACGTTCCTTACAATACCGCAAGGCCATAAGCGTATCTGCAGTCTCACCTATGGAACATGTACAGTTTATCATATACGTTTAATACAGGACCAACAAAAAGGCATCTTAGAAACTATATTATAGGGGTACTTGAAGCTCTAACCTACAGAACCTGGTTTTGTACAACATGCAGCCGGATAAAGCGTTCACGCTTAGACCTAGTTTCAGCACCCACCAGTTATTTATTTAATTCAAGCTTGAAACTACCCCTGCATCCAATACACAGATCTGTTACTATTAATAGTTTCATAGTTTGTAGGGTTGGAAGGGACCTGAGCAGATCATCGAGTCCAACCCCCTGCCATGGCAGGAAAGAGTACTGGAGTCAAACGACCCCAGCAAGGTGTTCATCTAGCCTCCTCTAAAAGACCCCCAGGGTAGGAGCCAACACCACTTCTCTTGGAAGTTGGTTCCAGATCCTAGCCGCTCTGACCGTGAAGTAGTGCCTCCTGATATCTAGCCTGAATCTACACTCTGCCTGCTTGTGACCGTTATTCCTAGTCCTCCTCATTTACTCTAAATTAAAGTATGGAGACAGAAATAAGCTTTGTTTACTGCATACACTTCTCTGCATGTCTCCACTCAGATAAAGGAGGAACGGTCAGAGTAACTCACCTGACTGACTGACAAAGAAGCATACATCATCCCTGAATACAGGAGTGTTTCTGTCCAGGAAGTCGCTAGCAAGTTCCACCATCACAGGCAGCTCTGTCAATTCTTCCAGCACTTGGCGCGTCTATAGTCAATAAGCAAAAAGCATTTATTAACATTAAGTATTAGAGTGAATAGCTATATTAAGGGAAAAGAAACAAAACAAACCAAGCTACAAAGTTACAGAATTTAATAGGAATTAATGAAATCTTCCACCCTATTACCAAGAAATAAGGCAGCTCTAACTACTAGCTGCAACATCAAAAAGCAAAGTGTTAATTTACAACATGGCAAATAACAGTAGAGCTATTTTAATAAAAGGTGCTAAGAGGAAGCAAGATACATAAAAGTCCAATTCCCTCACCCAGGGCTCAGTTTAAAAGAAAGAAAGAAAAAGTTGTTCTCTAAACCATAAGAACCAAGTATCCCCCATATTTTAGAGCAGGTTGAACTTACAGCTACTGCAGCATGATAACTGGTTCCACAACCAATGATGATCAGTCGGCGGCACCTCCTGATTTCTTTCAAATGATCCTTAAGACCACCCAACAGAACTGTAGCATCCCCAACAAAAGAAAAAAAGTACAGACTTCAGCTACATCTATTTTTATTCTAATCCGTTTTTTTTAAGTCATCACATCGACTTACCAGTACTGCTCTCAAAATTCACTCTGCCTCTCATGGTATTGACAACAGATTCTGGTTGTTCAAAGATTTCTTTCTGCATAAATGCACTGAAGTTACCTATTTAGAGACACATTAACAAACAGATTTAAGTTGTTTTTCATTTCAATTTTAATTCAATTGAAGAGAGAACTTTTTTTTTAAATGCCCAGTCGTATCCTGAGGGTTTCACGGAGGCTGTTAAGTCTCCGATATTTGCTAATGGGGAGAGACTCTGGTAGAACGAAGAGTGGGCCACTTGCTCAATTAAAGTGTTTTAAAATGTTAAACGTCTAATTCAATTAATTTCAAAAGAATCTCTGGTCATTTTCTTGTTTGTTACCAAGACTCTGAGATGCTTTAGTAAACTTCTGAGGGATCAGCGCAAACTTCCTAGCAGTGAGCATCTTAAGAATGACTACATTTAATTCTATACAATGTTTAAGTGTTGTAGGTATCTGCTATCCTGTACATAAAAAAGTCACAGATTTAATACGTACAGAGGCAGAGCCTGAATCTGCCTAGCCTGATCTGGTCACAAGTCTTAAAATTGCCAGCTCTCAGGAATTACTTTAGCATACTAGAAACGTAGGTACAAGGTCATTATGTGAGGATTTGGCAACTTTCTTGTGTGTCAATTCCCCAAGCCAATATCAGACTACCTACCTATAAAACTGTTATTTTTTAAGGTGTTCTGACTTACCCTTCATTATTTGCTGCAATTCCATCTGCAAAGTCTGGATGGCTCGAGAGGGGTCATCACTAGCTGAACGTTTCAGTCGATGGATAGAAAGTTTCCCATCAGTTACTGCTGCAATATCATCATCTTCTAGGAAGATTACTCTGTTGGTGTGTTCAATGATGGCACTGAAGAAACGTAAATAGAAAGAGATTTATATTCGGAACAATGTTTTAGTATGAAGAAGCAGTAAGATTAAGATAACATGTGCTAGTGAGGGCTACTTAAGCTTATCTTGTCTCCCTGCATTTGATACACTTTAGAACAGCGCCAGAAAGGTTCCAGACTGACAGTTACTTATCGGTAACACATCGTTGAGAAATCTGTGCCCTTTACCACCTTCAAAATGTCATTTTTCCTGCTTTATCAAGTTGATTAGTCATTAGTTGAGCTTCCCGAGTCTCCATAATAAAATAGTTTCCTACCAAATCACAAACATGTGGCACTGAAGTAATAGGTAAGATTTCCATTACTGTGTTGCTCCTAAATGACAAGCAAAAATAGCGTCATGTATTACCTTGCATCAGAAGCAAAGAAAAATTCTACTGCTTTATCTCCAACAGCATGAAGGTAGGTAGAACCATCCAATCTTTTCATTCGGGTCTTGCATATATTCTTCACGTTTTCAATGTTGCCTGTTAAACAAAATGGGACGTGAATCCGAGATAGACCAATCTGAAGTAAGAAACCTACCTGGTTGAAAAAAAACTTGTAAAGATAAGATATGAACATCTATACTATATTTACAAGTAGTCTATCCTTTTAGAAAGTGATGCATTCCCAGTGGGCATTTATAAACAATAAGATAAGAATGGGAACTGTCAGTAACAAAAAACTCTTCACTCAAAAACAAATCAATAAATACCCAGCGTACAGAAATCATTAACTTCACTTCTAAGGGAGTAGCAATACACCTTGAATTTAATTTGATTATGAAAAAAATCCTGCTAAGGTTCTGTTAACTGTCATCACAACAAGAATAACTACTGTAGCTTACAAATATTTTCACTTACATGACCGATACAGGACAGAAATCTGTTCAGTGGAAAGCTTGTATTTGCTGCGAACTCCAATGAGTAGAGGACTTCCTCTCCTATGAACGCAACAAGGAACACATTAGCTATGACATCGTTTATACAGGGAGATCTACTTAAAATCTGCAGGGTTGGAAGGTCACACCCCTTCCAACTTCACAGGGTGACAGATGTTCCCCCGCCCACCATCCAACTATGTGATGTTCCTTTCCCTGCTTTGGAACTGTAGAAAACAAAATAAGGCATATGGAATACTGACAACATGAAAGGCTAAACTTGCATTCCCAATTATAAGATCTGGCTTGAAAGATGCATTTGTTTTCATCTTTATAATGCCTTTGGTAAAGCTAGGACACCGTATGTTTGGACTTCTTCCATAAACCATGCAACACAGTTTTTCCATCAGCATGATGCACCAGTTGCCACTTCAGTATGCCTTTACCCTTTCCTGAAAATTGCTTTTCCAGCCAGAAACAGAAGCAGAGTTTAGGCAACTCAACACTATCATGAGTTGTGTCTTGGACTAGAGCTGTGTACCAGTATTTACATAATGTATTAATCCAACAGGCTTCTAGCCAACTTGAATGAATATACCATTCACAGCATTTATTCAAAATGAAGTCAAAGCACACCAGTCTTCTCTCCTTTTTCAATCTGCTATCAAATGAAAAAAGAGCTTGTCCAAAGAAAAGCACTTTGGAAACAGAAGGCAAACTGAGCTTCTCAGTGTTCTACAGCATGCAGGTGTACCATTTCATACTTCGTTATTTTACACTGCATTCATACATATCGCATGAAGAATTTAACACCAAGTGAAATGTGTCAAGTCAGCCTACTTTAGCAATCATCTGACTGTTCTTCAGCTGTGATTACGAAATGATTAATTCATATTTTTCACAATTATTTCCTCAAAAATTACTTGTACATTTATAGGTAAATCTTTCAGAATGACTCTGAAAAGCAGTGGTTTAATCCCTTGGAATTCAGCAGTTTTGGCAAGCAAGAAAAGCTCGTGAATTTCAAATCAGTTAGATTAAAGAGCTGATTGGAAGATGTGCCAAGGGAACTGAGGGACAGTTCATGGTCCTGAACCCAGATGCTGACTAACTACACTTAACATGGATACAGAATTTTTATAACACACTAATTAATGTCATAGTCCTCTGCATTTCATTGTTTTAAATTTTTGTTTGCAAATGATGTCTGATCAAAGGATTATTAATGTATATAGAAAATAAAATAGTCAAATGCTGGAATTATGGTTATTCATTCACACTATTTCAATACATAGCACAAAAATATTTTTTGGATTTTCACTAACCTGGCAGCAACAGCTTCACCCAGATAGTGGCTGCTCTTGAAAACCAAGGCAAAAGCACCTTCCTAGAAACCATAAAAGCAAAAGGAAAAATCCTGAACTGAGTTATACAAATGAGTCAAATCTTCATTAATCTGTGGCCCTTCTTCCTGAAATGATTTTAGGCATAGCTCATTACCACTATCAGGAATTTCTTCCTGGCAGTCGGATTGTACCATTCAAGAGGACAGCAAATACAGTAAAACAAGTAAAAGACCAATAAATATACCATGCATTGTTCAAATAGTGAGATGAGCACTTTTAATAGGAAACTAGATTCTCAGTTTACCTGTAAAAATAAATACTTTTAATACAAGTCTCTGTAAAACCCTGACAGATGCATTTTCTAGCACTGCTGGGGATCTACAAATAGATATTTTTGTGTATTAGACAATAAATTGGCAATACTGCCCATGTGTATGCTAAAGTTATAGATCAAATACTTTTTATTCCACTTTGACATCAAATGTGTGACCTGGCTTAGTTTGGGTTCTGTTGGGGTTGTGTTTTTTAAAAGAAAAAAAAGAAAAACACAAAAAACCAAAAAAGTGACAATACTACCTAAAAACAAAATCCTGGTGTTTTATGCAACATTAAAAAGACCATTAAGATAAGTAAGGTTGATCTGGAAGTGCTCCACAGCTCTGTGTTCAGGATCCAGAGTCATCAAGGTAGCTAGGAAACATGCTAACCCGTCCCCCAGTTCTGCCTCCAATCAGTGGCTAAGCAGTAGCAGGCTCTCACGATCTATGAACCAACATGCCTTGTAAACTCCAAATATAAAGTGCTGGGATTCTTTACTACAACAGACACTACTGTAATTCAAGCAGTTTCCCTTTTACCACACTTACCAGCTGCTGAATAACTCTTTCCACCAATGCTGAAAAGCTGATGTCCTCCGTCTCTCTGTTGTCATATATATATTTGATTAGTTTGGGGATGGTTTCTGTATCGGTTTCAGATTCAAACTCATAGCCTTTGCTTTCCTGGAATGTGAGATATAATCAGAGACAAGATAAACATTTTCTTCCTCAGGAAGGAAACCCTGGTGTTTTTCAGTTGGTGTAATCTCACCAGAAGGTAATAAATCATTAAAACGGACAGCTTGGGAGGATCACACTAGGCTGCATTTTACCACTTAGCAGAGAAAAGATTCAACTAATCATAACCTCACTATTTTCAAACATATATAAAAATAAGAGCAAACTGGCCTCTATCCTTTTCCAGCATAAGGAAACTAGGTTGTATTGTGCCGGGTCCTGTGCAACTCCAGCAGGCAACCTCTGTTGCAACACCACTTTTAAATTGTATACAACAAAAACGTTAATTCAATCCCTTCATAAGTTAGGAGAAATGGATAAACAATTATTTTATATCAGTATTTTAATTTTGGAATTAGTCACAGTTATAAAACCTACCAGAAATTTTCTCAGATCCTTATAGTTTGTGATGATTCCATTGTGGATAACAACAAATTCTGAAAGGAAGAGTCAACAATTAAGAGACCAAAGTGTAAATTCCATGCACACAGAAGCATCTTAAATTTTTGTTATTGCTGCAACGCCTTCATAATTACGGTGTACTGTAGCACCTTTAGTAGACTCTGTCCAACCTAAGAGTTATCATCTGCAGACCAACTTACTAAGACCCAAGCACTGGAAGTGGTTTTATGGTCTCCACCATCATAGCGTGGACGTTTCTCCCCTTTTCTTTTCCCTGACAGCCTACATGTAAATAAGCTTTATCAGTTTACAAATCTTATTCGAGTATTATATCCTGTTTTTCAAATAAGAATCTGTTTTCCTCCAATTCTCACACAGTTTTAAAAACAGAACAGATTAGATATTAATAGCACCCTTTATCAATTTTGTTAGATGTTTATCCACAGTTATGCTAAAAAAATTTTTGCACGTTAGCCAGATTGCTGGATTGTTAACACTTTATACAAAGACAGCCAGAAACCATGATGCCATTTCTACTCCGCCATCTCAACTAGAGAGCGTTTTTGTCTGGCTGGACACCTCAAAGCTGTATAGACTTTTTTCATTTTTTTACGTTAAAGTATTTCTGAGAAAATGTTTACTTCTTTATTGTCCATCATCCCATCCCTCCCTACCCCAGATAAATTGGAGGGTTTTTTTTGGGGGGGTGGGGGGGGTGGTTTAGCTACAGAACATAAAGTCAAGCACCAGAAATTCTAAAGATCTTACTCTGGTACTTGTATGGGAGCTCAAAGTAGCCAAATATTAAGCAGAAGCAAGTTTTAGGATAGTAGAGAGAAGGAATAAATAATTTTGAATTTGGGCCTCACTATTTCTTCAGACCCACAGAAGCATTTTGATACCTACTACTCATCCACTTTAGGTTTTTTTGGCATAACTGAATCACTGTACCTGAGCTGAGTATTCAAGAAAAAACTAGAAATACCCCTCGTAAAGGCCTCTATGGGTACCGAGTTGTTTTGAAGATGAAGTGCCCTATTTAAGGAAATCCAAAGATTGATTTATATTTAAGGAAGCTTATAGGGCAGAGACCATGTGTATCTTACCTTTGTACTACAACAGTTATAAAACATTTGCTCTCATGACACTAAGCCTTGGATAGTTTAAGTGCCTGTGGGAAACATTTTGCCAATATGGAGCTATTTCTAATATTAAACCACTCTCTCTCCAATCCTCAAAGGCAAATTTAAAGACACCTTCTGTATACAAACCTACAAGCTTCACTTCATAAATCTACCAAATTAAAAAAAAAAAAAAAA